TTCCATTTACTGAAAATCAATTGTAAATTTAAAAAATTTGTTTGATGATAAAATATGCAGATAGGTACTATCTGCATATGCCCCACTAAAACAATACTTCAGCACACCTCTGTCCTCCAGAATGAAAATCCTAGTGCCGGTGCTGATGACCACATTTCATTGGGACCTTGAATAAGTTCTCGCTGTTTTCCAACAGATGGTGTTACCAGAACTGCACGCATGTAGTTTAAGATGGTGGCACATCTGTAAGAAAGTACCATAAGCAAGCTTGAAATTCAGTATATGTCATTTCATCAAAGTGTAAAAACTTTTTCCATAGTGTTAAACATGTCGAGTTTCATGCCAAAAAAAAAAAAAGTGTATTTGCAGGAAATTTTATTGCACTATTTTATTCAAAAAAAATCTTCAGCTGAAGCACACAGAATTCTTGTTGAGACTTACAGCGACCATGCTCTGTCAGAAACAACATGCAGAGATTGGTTTAGACCAGGGCTTCTTAAACTTTTTTTATTCAGGACCCATTTATGATTGTGATTTTTTTCACAACTCAAAAAATATAAAATAAGGATATATATAAATTTGCAAAAACAATAATGATGTACTACCACAGTTCACTCTTGTGTTACAATGGAACAGAGACAACTGAATACACTGAAAATTGACAATACTACACTAGTTCAAACCACAGTGTTGCTGAATCATTGTCTCACTGCACCAGAAGTGACACAAAGTGCAATTCACAAAACCTATGACACAAAGCGTGCCATTTTCAAACTCTCACAAATTATTTTCAATATTTTGCATTAAAATCTCATGACCCCAAGATTTCACTAAGCAATCCCAAATGGGGTCGCGACCTATAGTTTAAGCAGCCCTGGTTTAGACGCTTCAAAAATAATGATTTTGAAGTTGAAGATAAAGAATGCTCTGGCGCATCGAAAAAGTTTGAAGACGAAGAATTGGAGGCATTGCTTCATGAAGTCTCATGTCAAATGCTAGCTGAACTTGCAGAATCACTAGGAGTTGATCACACAACAGTTTTGAAACATTTGAAAGTATTAGAAATGATTCAAAGATAGAAGATCATGGGGTAAACCCAGCCATGCATCAACATTGTTGGCAAAGCTGAATATCCATGGTTTGAAGCTTCTGCTCTGCATTTGGTGGGATCAACTGGATGTAGTTTACTATTAATGGCTCAAACCAAACGAAACCATCACAGGAGATTGCTATCAATTACAATTGATGCATTTGAGCTGAGCATTGAAGGAAAAACACCCACTATACAAGCAGAGACATAACAAAGTGATTTTGCAGCATGACAACGCTCAGCCACATGTTGCACAACCAGTGAAAACCTACTTGGAAACACTTAAATGGAAAATCCTACCCCACCCGCCATATTCACCAGACATTGCCCCTTCCGACTATCACTTGTTCTGATTGATGGCACATGGCCTGGCTGAGTAGCACTTTCATTCTTATGATGCCAAAAAATGGGTCAATTCTTGAATAGACTTAAAAGACATGTTGTTTTTCCAACATGGAATTCAAATGCTGCCAGAATGATGGGAGAAAGTAGTGGCTAGTGATGGACAATACTTTCAGTGACATGTTTTTTACGACTTTTTTAAAATAAAACATTAATTTTCACGAAAAAACAGTGAGAACTTATTCAAGGTACCAATATAAGCAAGACCTAGATACAGCCCACAGGTTTAAAGACAATGGCCCCATGGCAGACNGTAGACTGTACTGAACCCATATCAGTAAATAGTGAAAGCACAGTAAAGCATGATATTTTCCAATATTTCAGTTTCATCATACAGTGTGATGGTAGTATCAACAGAATTATATGTACAAGGATAAAAGTAATCTGGATGTGATAAAAAATTATAGAATCTCTCTTAAGCTACATAACCAATGAATAATTGAAAATTGTGCAAATTGATGACAAAATGCACAAAAAGTTGTCTACAATGATATAACAAGAGGACAGCACTAAGGTGGAACAAGAGTGGGTGCCAGCCTACCTAACATTTTCTCACTAATCCATCTGCCAACTCTGAAATAATTTATTTGAATCTATCTACACTGACCATTATTACAAGTTTCTTTAAATATGAATTGATTGTGTACCAAAAAAATGATCTATTCTCAACTTTTTTCCATTTACTGAAAATCAATTGTAAATTTAAAAAATTTGTTTGATGATAAAATATGCAGATAGGTACTATCTGCATATGCCCCACTAAAACAATGTTCCAGCACACCTCTGTCCTCCAGAATAAAAATCTTAGTGCTGGTGCTGATGACATTTCATTGGGACCGTGAATAAGTTCTCGCTGTTTTCCAACAGATGGTGTTACCAGAACTGCACATGTGTAGTTTAAGATGGTGGCGCATCTGTAAGAAAGTACCATAAGCAAGCTTGAAATTCAGTATATGTCATTTCACCAAAGTGTAAAAACTTTTTTCCACAGTGTTAAACATGTCGAGTTTCATGCCAAAAAGAGAGTATTTGCAGGAAATTTTATTGCACTATTTTATTCAAAAAAAAATCTGCATCTGAAGCACACAGAATTATTGTTGAGACTTACAGCAACCATGCTCTGTCAGAAACAACATGCAGAGATTGGTTTAGACCAGGGCTTCTTAAACTTTTTTTATTCACGATCCCATTTATGATTGTGATTTTTTTCATGACTCAAAAAATATAAAATAATGATATATATAAATTTGCAAAAACAATAATGGTGTACTACCACAGTTCACTCTTGTGTTACAATGGAACAGAGACAACTGAATACACTGATAATTGATAATACTACACTAGTTCAAACTACAGCGTTGCTGAATCATTGTCTCGCTGCACCAGAAGTGACACAAAGCGCAATTCATGAAACCTATGACACATAGCGTGCCATTTTCAAACTCTCACAAATTATTTTCAATATTTTGCATTAAAATCTCACGACCCCAAGATTTCGCTAAGCAACCCCAAATGGGGTCGCGACCCATAGTTTAAGAAGCCCTGGTTTAGATGCTTCAAAAATAATGATTTTGAAGTTGAAGATAAAGAATGTTCTGGCGCACCGAAAAAGTTTGAAGACGAAGAATTGGAGGCATTACTTCATGAAGTCTCATGTCAAATGCTAGCTGAACTTGAAGAATCATTAGGAGTTGATCACACAACAGTTTTGAAATATTTGAAAGTATTAGGAATGATTCAAATGTAGAAAATCGTGGAGTAAACCCAGCCATGCATCAACATTGTTGGCAAAGCTGAATATCTATGGTTTGAAGCTTCTGCTCTGCATTTGGTGGGATCAGCTGGATGTAGTTTACTATTAGTGGCTCAAACCAAACGAAACCATCACAGGAGATTGCTATCAATTACAATTGATGAATTTGAGCCGAGCATTGAAGGAAAAACACCCACTATACAAGAAGAGACGTAACAAAGTGATTTTGCAGCATGACAATGCTCAGCCACATGTTGCACAACCGGTGAAAATCTACTTGGGAACACTTAAATGGAAAGTCCTACCCTACCTGCCGTATTCACCAGACATTGCCCCTTCCGATTATCACTTGTTCCGATTGATGGAACATGGCCTGGCTGAGCAGCACTTCCATTCTTATGATGCCAAAAAATGGGTCAATTCTTGGATAGACTCAAAAGACATGTTGTTTTTCCAACATGGAATTCAAATGCTGCCAGAATGATGGGAGAAAGTAGTTGCTAGTGATGGACAATACTTTCAGTGACATGTTTTTTACGACTTTTTTAAAATAAAACATTAATTTTCACGAAAAAACAGTGAGAACTTATTCAAGGTACCAACATAAGCAAGACCTAGACAAAGCCCACAGGTTTAAAGACAATGGCCTCATGGCAGACCAAATAATGATCGCAAGACATCATTAATTAATTAATGCAGATATCAAATTTAAGCATGTACACCGAAGTGCTACTTTCAACCAAGAAAAATAGCAGGATAAGATCTGAATGGCACACCATGTACCTGTAGGGACATTACTAAGATGAAGGCCAAAATGTAAAAAAATTTACTGCAATCATATTAGGTCAATTTATCAAACTTTGCCACTAAACATGAAAGTACAATTTTACTAAGATGGCGATACACTAAGCTCTCATTTTACTGACATTTACTACAAATATTGTTATAACTAAGAAATGGAAGTATGACTCATCATTAAATACTATTAAAATTTTTTGCATCAAAATGTATTTACATACTTTGTATCTAATCATTTTATTAATGAATTCACAAAAAGATACCATATCTTTGTTCATTTTAAAAATGTTTTAGTATAATGCTAAATGCTTTGTTTCTTAATAATTTTGTATCTCATACGTAAATAAATTTAACTCAAAAATTGTGATTTAGTTAAGTAATAAAGTAATATATTTAATGATACGTACATATTACTAATATTCATTAAAAATATTTTAACTTATGCTAATAACGTAATAAGTTTATTAACAGTACAGAAATTAATTTGTTACAGCCAACGGTCATTTTCGGGGCCCGAGAGACAGGACAGAGAAAAGCGTACAGACACGTGACACACTTCTCTCCAAAAATTCATAACCATAGATTAAATTGTCTTCTGTTTAAGAAATAAAAAGATTTTTGGGTTAAAGTCCAGATACGTATACCGTCATGGCGACTCATCTCTGATTCCAGCAAACAAAAGAAACAGTGGGGACGCATGTTCTAACCTAACCTATTCTATTAAATTACCATAATTACTACCAACCAAATTATTAGAATAGGTTAGGTTAGGTTAGAACGTACGTCCCCACTTTTTGCTGGAATCAGAGATGAGCCGCTTGACGGTATACGTATCTGGACTTTTAACCCATAAGACAAATAATTCTTCTGTCTCTGTTCATTACACTTAAGTGCATTCTTAAATACTTCTAGGACAGTTAAAAATGAACGTTATAATACCCATTGAACACAACAAACCTTTAGTTAAAGAATCAAAGATGCCAACGCTTTCTAAATATTTTCTGAATTCTTCTCTTCTAGGATTCACCGAGGGAGAAAATACCTTTGAACGGGAATAAAGTCAATATTCATTTCAAATCTTAAATATAAAAATGTCATCGAATATATTTTAAATTTAGAGACAAAATATTTTTAAACGTTGGTAGAAAATTTATTATGATAATTACCCTGTACGAAGTCATTAGAAAGCTAATTAAAATCTATCTCAAAAATATAAAAATAAAGCAGTATCACTGACAAAATAAAGATAACCAGAATAAAAATGAAAGCACGTTTTAGCTGGATGAACAGTGTTGCCACACGTTTTTTTAATTTCGAAATTTCAGTAAAAATTTGTATACAATATGTCTATTAAATATAATTATTAAAATTATAGATTTTGTAATGTTTTAATAAACATTTAAATGTTTCTTATAATAATAACTTTAAAAATTGACTTTTAAATCGGAAAATTATTTAATATGTTTATATTTGAATAAAATAATTATTTACGGTCAAAGATGATGATAACATACCCGTATCTGTTCAGCAATTGATCGGATTAATTACTTCGTTTAAGTAACTATAAATTTTTGATTTTTAAAATAAATGATTTATATGTTACTTTATCTCAATTGCATATCTTCTTAATATTTTTCTTGAAAAAGTATCATTGAAATACAATTGCATATATCTAGTTTTCTACTAGATAATTATCCGCTTTGAGAGAATATTTCGAATATTTAAGCTTAAATCCCTCTCCGACTTCGATGGATAAGAATACGTAAACCTATAAATAAAACTATATGTATAGCTATTATGAAACCCAGATACATAGAGGTTAACAGCAGTCATTTGTTCTAGTCTCGAATATAAAGGGACACCCAAAATTGATTCTTCTAAGGTGGATGGCTGAACGGAACGGTTAACCTATTACGGCCCGCCAGTGGCCAAGCGGTCTTCGTTTCCTGAGAAGTGGTAGTTCGGTCGTGGGTTCGCGCCTCGCTCGGACGGGCTGGCCATGTGGAGTTTTTCCGGGTTTTCTCCACGTCTGTAACGCCTAAATAGGGGCCAGTTTCCCTTAAAAAGTCCTCCCGGAAGGCATCCCCCTAAGCATATCGCCCAAGTGTTGCGTTGCCATAACTAAACAAAGTTAACTTACTACTCTGATGACCCGGAATCGTGTGTGTGAGGCTCTGTCCGTCGCCATTCGGCCGCCTGGTGTGGGCCTAGTTAAACCCACACCGAACGTGCAAAAACAGTCCACTTAATGTCTATAAGGAGAAAAGTGTAAAAAAGGTGCTTCACGATATTCACATTTCCGAATACATTGGTACCTCGGTATACGTCTGCTTTAGAATACGTCCTGTTTGGACGAAACAAATTTTGCTCGGTATACGACATAATTCAATTATACGCGCCGTCAATGAACAAGTAGCACTATCGATGTACTAGACGTTCGCGGTGCAACGGTTTATAACTTTGTTAAATTTCTTCTGATTTTAATTCGTAAGTAAAATTTTATTAATCACGAATCGCAAAAAGGCAAATGAAAAGCGACAGAAAACTAAAAAAAATGACTAGAATTACAATGGAACTGATAAAAGAGATTGTTAAGAAATACGAAGATGGCGTGTTCGAGATTTTAACTGTTGCATACCGTATTCCGAGAACGACGATATGGACAATCGCGAAAAATAAAGACATTATTAAATGTGCTAACGTTGCGAAAGGGGTTAAATCAATTTCTAAACAGAGATCGAAGATATTAGATCATGTCGAGAAATTGCTTTTGCTTTGGATAACTGAAAAACGGTGCTGGAGACAGCGTATCGGAAGCAATTATTTGCGAGAAAGCTAAAAAGATACACGCTGATCTCACGAAAAATCAAGCAGGAACTAGCCAGGAAAGCGAGGTGTTTAAAGCCAGCCATTTTTTTTTACACGAGAACGGATTAATCATTTTTACATTACTTCTTATGGGAAAGGTTGGTTTGGTATACGTCCAATTCGGTATAAGTCCAAACATCGAGAACTGATTAAGGTCGTATACCGAGGTTCCACTGTATATTCATTTGATTTTATCATTTACGGAAACGGAAGATCTAGCGACTAACACAAGATCAGTTAAAATTACCATACGATCAGCGTTTTAACAGAGAGATGTCGCTTCAATATGAACAGTATAAAATTTTCCAATTATTTGGTAATACACTCTGTATACCTGTATACACATTCTTTAACATAGCAGACTGTTTAAACTTAACTGCGTAAGGGACCGCGCAGATGGACATCACTTGTTAAACTCAAAACAATTCGGTATAAAAACCATTAGAAGTGGAAGATATATTTTCACCCTGAAAATATTTTAGTGTGTACTGACTATTGATGTGGTATTTTATCACCCGTCCGTAATCCGCGAACTATGTATGGGAGAATTCTCCCTCTTCCTATTCCTTGGTCCTCTATATCACGAAAAATATGCTATTCCTCTGGTTCAAAACCATTAAAATCGTAGGAGAGAAATTTAAGTACCACGTCTATACCGATGAGGTACACAATACATGAGAATGGCCAGAGTGGAGAGCAAACGACGCTACATTTTAACCCAATCTCCTGCCGAAGCATAGTAAACTAAAATAACTTCGTCTCTATTCCAATGAACATCCCAATTTTGAAGACAAGCCCAAAAAAGTGGGCACCGGAATCAAGAAAACACGGTAATTTTAAGAATCTAGAATTGATTGGTATGCAAAAATACAAGCTAAGCGGACCGCGAAATTGCTGATTACGCGATATGCGTCACAAACAGGGCTATGTTCAGTAATGAATATTAACGAGTAAGTCAGAATTCTGAGCGGAGCTAAGAATGTTCTGATCATTATTAAACGATTCTTCGTCAGATAAACTAGGAAAAATGGCGGCCTCTTTACTCATAATTTCTTTACCTTCAAAAATGAACTTATTTAATCCGGCACGAGTAGCCATCACATTAGAATTTTATGCTTACGAGCGTAAAATTCTTCAATGGTGAGGCGGAATGACAGTAAGTCTATTAATAGTCTGAGTAAACGAGTAAGAATTAAGAATATCGTCCAACATCGTGGCAAAGTCTAAGTCAGAATTTTGGGTTACTGAACACGGCCCGGGATTGTTTGATAAGTTTCCTCACAAGACTCATTTGATCCATGTTTATTTTTTCCTTCAAAATTCTGCGGGTTTCTTACTGTCTTCAGGTATAAATATGCTTTCAGTTTCACTTTTAGTTAGTACTAAAACTATCTAAAAGTGAAACTGAAAGTTCAGTTAAACCTGAGGCGTGTTCAGTCTCGAATTCTTGCTAAGTCTAGTTATGCTGCAATGCTGAACTATTTGACTCGCCCATTGTTAGAATTCTAATTAGTTCTGTCAGCTTTTATTTATTAGTGATGTCATTGTTTTTGTCTCGTACAATTTGCAAAAGTCGTGCTGGACTAAATATTTTTTATGTAATAATTAATATTATGATAATCATATCATCCGTCGTTTTTAAACACGATTAATCTAACTTGCTAAATCTGCACACCATTCAAGGATACCCAAATACTTGGCTCCGCTCTCCTAGCCAATTAATTTCTTACCTATTCTGCTTTACTGATCACAGCCCTGGGTCTAGCGGCATGCTGACTGCTAACAGAAATTTAATCAAAACGAGCCCTTAATGAAAACCCATTTTACGAGTTTTTGTTATTCAACAGATGAATTTTTAGTTATTCGTATATAAAATGAGGAAAAATTTATAACACTAATACAGAAAACGTAGTCATTTAAGCGAGAGGTAACGAATAGTGGAATTTTGTTAAACATGTCTATATCTATGAGAAATAAATATTGTAGTATTGTTAATTACATTTTAACCAAGAGAGAAAATAATTTTATTAATACGTTTTATTTATAAAAGCTTAAAACAAAGTTCGTTTCAAAATTTAGATAAATTACTTTAAAAATATCTATTATTAATGGAAAATATAAGGAATTGCCTAAAATAATAATAAGGACAAACATTTTTTCACGTTTTGAATTCAAAATATATGTTATTTTTTGGCTGATGGATTTCAATCTTTATTTTTTAGATGCATAGTTGTTTATAATTAATATTAAAAATCAAATTTAGAATGAGATAAAATTCTACATGTATTTTATTTTTTGGCATACACAAAACAGTGAGATTACAATGGTATACCAATTCTAAACACAAAAGCACAGCCGTTTGTGCAGAACATTTCACAAGACAGCACAGACTTTTCTTTTAATATACAGTGCATATTCCATGTCTACATCTAGAATGTTCTAAAGTGGGGGAGAGATGAAATTTGATGGCAATATCATATTAATCAGTAGCATGAAGGCAATATTCACATCATTAAGCAAAGCAGATATGGCAAAAACATGTTAAGAATGATGCTGGTTGATATATCTTCTCAATTTTTCAATGATTGAAGTTTCACTTTTTCTCTGCAAATAATTATTCAGATAATTCTTATGTTTCAGGAAAGCTATTGGGAATGGATTACAGTTGCTGTTTGGACAATTTTAAAAAATAAATTTTTATATTGTTAGTACTAACACAAGCTCATCATGATAAAACAAATATATTGAATTGCACTTACAATATAACAAAAAAATATAAACATTTTGATAATACATAAGAGTTATTATTGTTATTTATTTTTCCCTCTCTCAAATTCAAGATGTAGTATTAACAATAACATGGAAAAAATTTTCTTTCAGTTATGTCCAATATACAGCATCTGTGAATTCAACTTTTCCATCTTCTGGAATTGGATTAAATCTTGATAACAGAATTTTTTGAAAGTTAAAAGGAAATAATATATACCAAATACGAATATTTATTATAAACACTTCACATCTCAAATACTTTTGATCTTTAAACTATACAAAATCAGAAAAGATACAAGAAGATATTAAACATATTTATAAATGAAGTTCATGACAAAATATTTTGTCATTGGCTAAAAATCATATATTTAAAGTTTACAAAGATTTTATTCTCTTTCATACTACTATGTTTATTGAAAACTGTAATCCACTTTTGTGGTATTTGTGCTAATGAGAATATTTTGATGCAAGTTTTGGTTAAAAACACTTGACACGCAGCACTCAATGTTTTTCTAAGTAAAATTTATCCAAACAGTCTGTTTATAGGGTAATTTAATGAGAAAGCTCTCCTTGAACACTTAATCTTGAAATATTATATATTTCACACAATCTACATAAAAGGAGAAGGTTTGATGGAAAGGAAAAACTGTTTTTGAAT